TCTTTTTACCTGAAAACTTTTGGGCGATACTTCTTACTGAACGATTCTTATGTATAATACTTTCTTCTTTACAGATGGGTCGTGTTGCATTCCGCCATGCTTCCCGCTCGATCGTGAGAAATATTGATTATTTCGATAATCGTAGGAAGTTTATTGCATGTACCACCGTTGGGGCGCTGTAATAGCGCGTTTAGCGCGAAATGACAATTTGGAATAGAAAATGAAACAGGCTGGTTTAAACCAAATACACAAAATTCATGTCAAATTCTTAAAAAAGGACGAAAATACTCATAAACTAGATACAAAATTTTTAATTTTGAATTGTTATAATTTCATGGAAAAAAATTATAAAACAATTATGTTGATCTTATTTTAAAAAATAAAGTCTTCACCTGTTGAGTTTTGTATCGTTCAATGATATTTATTTTTACATCATGCAGTAAGTGAAAAAGCAAGAATATTTTCCTTCTTGAAAATTATAAAAATTTAAACATCTCGCTAGACTATAATTTTTTCGTCATTAAACAATTCTTTTTCATGATCAAATTGATCATGACCTTAGAAATTAAACTCTTCCTTTTATAGTGAGCTCTTTTCTAAAAATTAAAGTATTTATTTAAACTCAAATAAATATTCTAAAATGTATTATTATAGGCGTAGTTTTTCTTTAACGATATATAAAATGCATCAAATAATATATTGGAATAATTTTATTGATGTATGAAGTAAATTATTCATTATTCCTCGGTTACAAAAAATTCTCATTTAATGGTAGTACGATTGATTATTGAAGAAATTTATTTTATATATAAAAATTAAACTTTGATGAAATGCTATTGAACTGAAAGTCGTCTTCGTACGATTCATATCAAAGTTAATATCGATATTAAATTATTATAAGTACTTCGAAGAAAAATTTAGTCTAAATTTACAAAATTCATAATTATTAATATTAAATAGTTATTGCGTATCTATGACGAAATTATCTACTTCTATACCTATAACGAGAATCTAATGAATCAATAATTTAATAAATTTTTTAACAATCTTTTATTATTTGATGTATAATTCATAATATCATTGTATCACGTATTACTAATTGTAAATGGATACGTAGTTGTGTGCAATCTCGTATTATAACCTTAAAATGTCAAAAAGCATAACCTTAAATATGTACCAGAATTTTCGTATTAAACTCGATTTCAAATATTATAATGATGTGCGCCGTTTTTGTTGGATTTTTATCGATTGTACAAAGATGTTACAAATTGATGATGTAAAAGAACATATTAAAAAACTGTTTGGTATTAATGATCCGTTTGACTTGTTCTTAAATGAAAATGAATATCTACCACCTAAAGAAAACATACAAGTCCTAAAAGAGAATGAAATTATTTTGTAAGAATTCTTGCAACAAAAATGTTAAACTATTGTATTATTTCAATCAATATGTTTTAGGGTTTCTCCCGGATCTCACTTAAACAATAATCAATTTAACAATTTACCATTAAGTATTGAATTTTCATCAATAGATGCAAACAAACACGAACTAGAAGGTAATTTTGCATATCCAGAACAAATTGAAGAATTAATTTCCCAATCAGGTAAGGATTCAGGTCAACAAGAACAGTCGTCAAATAATTTCCCTGCAGTATTATCAAGCCAACAGGATTTATCAACCGACATATCAAATAACTTTCAGAGTAATGAAGAAAGTAAGAAAAGAGAAGTATAATTGAATTAAATATCTAATGCTATCATTTCTTTTATTACTTACAATGACATTGTATTTTTTAGTATATGATGATGCAAATACAGAAATTCTTGACATACTTCCAAGAAGAAAACGTGTAAGGCATCGAAAGAAAAAAAAAAAAGTTGATACACAATTAACGGAAGAAGACAAACCTGCGAAACCCAAGATTACAAATTCCATTATATCGAGCACTATTTCTTCTTGCAAACATATTCGTTTTGATAATGTAGACAACAAAATTATTGTGAATGACCAATTTATATGTCCAGCACCATCAAATCGAGTCGATACTGTTCACAAACTTAAAAATTTATTATCATTGAGTAAAAATGCCATTCCACTTACTTTTGAAAACAACAGAATAAAGGGTATGACATGTAAAAAAGAGAAAGAGGAAAAAGAATACGTTGAGGATACTGTAGCCAATATAGTCTCTAAAAGTATTAATGGAAATACAGCTTCAACTGAGAGACTGGAAGAAGTAAACAAGTTTTTAGATATAGATTTTGAAACATATGAAGTTATGGTAGTGAAACCAAAAATTGAAGATATTATAGCGTTCAAGGTAATTTTTTGAAATGTTAATCATTATTATGGTTTTACATAGGATTCATTTTTAGATGCTCAAAATTGGGACAGACTATACGCCACAAATGTCGAATTTTATTGTGGCAGAAGTTATATTCTATTGTTCAGAAAAATCATTATATAAACTCAAAATATTGCGTATGTAATTTGATATAATTTATGCACATCAAATATGTATATATATGTATGTATCTATTTATTTTTTTCATTAATTAATGAAATGTAATGTGTTTGTATGCAGACGGCTTGTCAGAAGTGCAGGTGCCAATTGGAAAATTTACAATTATGGAAGAGACAGAAGAACATGTTTTAAATGATATAATTACATTACATCATGCACAAATAGTAAAACCTAGACTTATATCTAATTCAGACAAAGCGATTAGTTCTCCTAATTAAATATTGGTTACGCAATTTATAATATTATATATATTTTTATATATTTTAAATTTAATATGTCTATGAAAAAAAATAAACTTTCTTAACAACGTGGATAAATTTCGTTAATTAATCGGAATAATTAACATCAAATTAATAGCGAAGAAATTAGTAAATGTAACGTAATAATGACATTTTTATTATTTTTATGTAACGTAATAATGATATTTTTATAATGACGTATTTATTATTCTTTATGAAAATACACATATCTATGTAAAATATTATTTTGCATTAAAAAATAATATATCGCGTTATTATAAGAAAAAATATACAAATTGCTTATTATAAATTATCGGTAAAATTGAATTAAACAAATTTTTTAACAAAATTCAACATAGAAAATGTTGAATGCTCTGATTGGCTGATCTAAATTTGTTCTGCCAATGAGATTTGAATATGAATCAGCAGAGCAGCCTTAAAATTTTCTTCAATATTTTTATGGAAATACATATATCCATGTAGAATATTATTTTGTATTAAAAAATAATATATCGTATAATTATAAGAAAAAACATAAAAATTGCTCATTATAAATTATAAAGAAGACAATCGATAAAATAGAATTAAACAAATTTTTCAATAATATTTCAATAATATTCAACCTAGAAAATGTTAGCAAATGATTCTTTTGAAATTTAATTGGTAAACTTTTTAAAATTTGAATTCAATTAATGGCTAACTAGTTTTCTGATGATTTTGATTGGCAACTAAATTCGCTTTAGCAATTCCGACTCAGCAGATCGCATCATCGCTGAATCATTCGTCCTTTAATTACGAATATCATCGTGGACGAAATAGCTAGAATTAGGACAGCGAGGAACGTGTTTGCATGTATCAGAAAGCAGAGTAAACAGCTGTATATCCCTTTCGGTTCCGCGATTAATAATCCACACTTAGAGAAAATTATACCATTGCACGGAATAGATTTAATATCCTTTTGTTAATTGCGTTTGTACGTTGCAACTAAACGATTAGATGTCGTAACGAATAAACTTGCATAATTTACAAAGAAATTCCTAACCTTGTCCTTACCTCTGTTTTTTTTGTTTCTCTTATGTGTCATAATAATAGTAAAATAACAAAAGTTAACTCCGTAATCCGTGGTACAATATTTTTCCTCATTTTATTGAATTCATCATTCCTTTAAAATTAAACTGTTATGAATGTTAAGATTATTTTAAATTTTTTTATTCAATCCTAATGGTCAAAATTCAATAAAAATGGCGAAAAAATTGAACAACTAGTTTTAAAAGCTCACTGTAGAGAGAAGATTTTACATTTTAAGATCATGACTGATGTGATCATGCAAAAAAAACTGTTCAGTGATGCAAACACTTCTTTTCGGCGAGATGTTTGGAATTTACAATTTTCCAGAACAAAAATATTCTTACTTTTACACTTGCTGCATGATATAGAAATAAATATTTTTCAGCGAAACAAACTTAGGATTCTTAAAGTGGTGGCTCCTTAAAATAAAATCAAGAACTCTTCTACAAATATTTTTTACAAAACTATAATAGATTAGAGCACTGACAATTTTTTATCTAGTACATGAATATTCTCGATTTTTTTTTTTTTTAAGTGATAGAACGGGTAGCATAGAGGAAAGGACCCATCTGAAAAGAAGAAAGTATTATACATAAGAATCGTTCAGTAAGAAGTATAGCACAAAAGTTTTCAGGTAAAAAGT